CGGACTCATTTTTATGAGTTAGCCAGAGTGCATGGTTCTTCATGAAAGGCTCAACCCTTTCCCACTGAAGGCAGGAGGACAAACTTTCTCTGGTCCATTTGGAAGCTTGCCAGTTCAACGTCAGCCCAGTGAAGTTTTTTTACACTAGCTGTAGCTGTCAGAGTGAACTTGCAATCTGCTGTATCCCTGCTGTGCTCCTGCTGGGGTGTAAGGGCCTAGAGGTGGGTCTACCACACTGCTAGCCTATAGAGGTAACCACACAAGAGAGCTGGTCTACTCTCATCTTCTCTCCCTCTGGACTGGTAAAAACATTGTTCCAGCTTGTAGAGTAGGCTAGTTCTTAACTGTGATTAATAACAAGATTATAGCATGGAGACATCAACATCCTTCCTGCCCTGGAACTTGGGTGCCACCTGCACTCACCCATGTGAGGAGACAGGTCCCTTGCAGGCAGGAAGATTACCTCTCAGTATTAGCTCCACACCTTTGAAAGTCACATCAGTCCTTCAACTGGTACGCTTAATAATAATAATGACAACAGCAGCAGCAACAATGGTGTTTTAGCTATATCTTATGCGGGTTTGGAAGCCTGAGGGGAAACCTGCCTATCACAAAGTGTATGAGAGATTTAAAAGCCAAAGGCAGCCTTCAAAATACTTGCCATACTTTGGCACCTACCCTTCTGCTCTGACCTCTGCTCTTGCAACAACCCGCTTTCTCCCTCCCCTTCAGAGGCTCTGCTTATCCCTGCTGGCATTGTCAGAACAAATGGTCTCTTCTGTGCCAAACCCCTCCACATTTCTTTTGCGAACCAAATCTGATTTCCATCGCTGCGAGGATTTAATACATATGTGATCAAATAATGAAATTTCTGCTCATAGAAACACCAAGGGGTCAGCACCAGGGAGGGAAGAAAAAACTACTCGAGCTAGAGGACAATGTTGGACTCGAATACATATAGGCTAAAAACCCCTGAAGGGGCAAGTAGCAGGGGACTGGACTCCATGACCCTGAAGCCCCTTTCTGTCCTGGTTTCCAAGTACCAGCATGCGGGAGAGGGAGAGAGAGCAAGCAGGGGGGAGACATGCTTTGAAAATCCCCCTTGTATTTGTAAGGGCCTGGAGCGTGTCTTTGCATTGTTTAATGGTAATCTGTTTCTTATTATTGCAATGTGATGTCCAAGGACGCTGTGTACTGACCTGGAGTGATGCTGTGTGCAGCTGTGGGAATGATGTCAGTGTCCTGCTCTTCAATGGGCATGTTCTGGGGGTTGTTGAGAGCTGGACTCTGGGAGCCGTTTGCAGCGAGGAACAACATCCCTCCAGCCAACACCCTCGTAAAGGTGCCAAACACCCCCATGCACCAGGAGACGGCAGCCATGCCCGGTGTTCCACACTGTACCAATAACCATCCTATCCCCTGTTTATCCTGTTTCCTCTGTTATCAAAGACCGACCCTGTACCTTGCTCTGCTGCAGAGTTGGAGCTTTCACAGAGTGGGTGGTCTCTGTATCCCAGCCCTCGAGGTGATAAAGCGCATGTCAGTTGTTGTAAGACTGGATGCGTCCCGAGGGTCCGATTGCCAAAAGGTCATGCAGGTGGCTGCGTGCAGAGACACACAGGGTGTCATTCAGTGAGGATGAAGGAGCTACCCCCAGCCCGTGGGCAGGACTGTTTTCAGCAGCCCCCTGTGCCTCGTGAGGGTGTGCTTACAGCAACGGTAAATAAAGCTTGAGCATGCAAAAAGCACCCAAAACATTACACAGCCAGTCACGGGGGCAGGCCTGGTGAGAGCTCACGTTTGTGCCAGATTTGCTGGGAATCTTTTGTATCCTGCCATTAATTGTGGCTGTAGTCCTTAGGGTGCGAGTAACAAGATAACGGGGAGGTGGGCACACTCGTGGAAAGCATGGCTCGGGGCACCAGCTGTACAGCTGTTCGGATGCGCCTGTGCTTTGTCCATCGCCGCAAGCAGTGGGATGTTGAACCAAGTGAGACTGGGGTTTTCAGCTACCACCATAGGCCCATCTCTGTAAGGACAGGCTGTAAACATAAGTGATACTCAAAACTACATAAGCAGTAGTGAAATGTTCCCTACATACACAGTCTACAAAGCAAGTAAAAAAATCTTAGGTTGTAAAAGTAATGTTACTACGTAACAGTCATCCTCCAGGGAGTTATTCTTGGCAGAGACACCTAATGCATTTGAGGCTGGATTAATTAATAATGCCAATTCAAAGAATACCTTGTAACAAAATGATATGAATTGGTATTTGAGAATAGAAAAAATGCAGTTAAAAAGGATCTCTATAGCAGCAGAGCTAAATTCCTATAGCTAAATCACATGGATTAGCTAAACAGTCTGCTCTGAATTTAATCTGCTTTAGATTCAGAAGAAGCAACCTAGGATATATTCTGAATCCAGTGCACGTTTCTTTGCATTTACTCATTGCATTTATTCTCCTATTGTATGATGTCACCAATAGTCACGTTTCAACAAGTATCTTCAACTAAATGTTTGACAGCATTTAAGCAAAAGCCAGTGTCTCAACTGCTTTTTTAGAAAATGCTACTTTTTCTAGTAGCTCTCCAACAATTTCACTCAGAAGGACAATGGTGTTGTACAGGCCAATACCAAAAGTTGGAAGACAGAGATCCTTTTTCCATCTCTGCTTCTCTTCTTGTTTTGTGGAGTATGTTGGGTCAGCTCTTCTTCTGTGTCCACTTTGGTCAATTACGAGTCATGAATGGGGACGATAGGCTTGAAATCAATAAAGGAAGTATCTTGAACAACTTTAGCATTTATGTCCCAGATTTTTGATAGTATTTCCAAAGTATCTATTGCCTGAACACTTTATCTGCCGCCTCGATCTGCTGGGTGACACTGTCAACAACTTCAAAGTTACAAGGGAAATGAATAAAGACGGTTTAATAGGATAGTGCCAGGTTGTCTCTCCAGAAATCAGAAAGGATAGATGACACATCAGTCCTTTGTGTCAACTTTTACTTCCCTCACCCACGTGGCACCAAAATAATGACAAAACCAGATGCTCATTTGTAAGACCTTTTTTTATATAAATAATATGCACTGTATTGAACAAATATACAACACCATGCTTGCAAATTAATGCTTTGCAAAGAAATCTCATTGCTATTCCTGGTCAAAATTCCTCAAGCTGAGTGCCTCAGGAGCCTGAAGTTGTAGGAAGCTTGTGATGCACCCAGTTGTGACCTCTCCTAGCAGGAGGAGGCACTGTGGGAGCAGGGCTCTCTGCTGTCCTCCTGCGGCTGGCCTATCACCAGAGGAGGTGTTTTGAGGAGCAACACAGGAGCCTCCAGCCTTACCCAGAAAGAGGAACAAGATGGAGCAGAGAACTCACAGCCATCATGAAAGAAATGACAGAGCACTCCCAGAATGTGGGACACACTTAGCCTTGGCAAAGCATCAAGAGGTTAGACTGCAGAGGACAATCCATCTGTAATTTAGGTAGTGGGAAGGTGGTGGTGAGTAGGCATGTACTATGAACCCGTCTTCAACTTGGTAAAGACTGTGTCCACAAGACCAGGTGCTGATGGGGTCCCCTAGTGGAAACACACTGATTGCCAGGCAGCAGGATGCTTTGATTTTGCCCCCTACAAAAGATATCTATCTACAGGCTGTATAGCTTTGCTCATGCTGGGTGTTTTTTCTGGTCTCAACTCTCAGTCCAGTCCCCAACTAGCCACATCTAGCCATATTATGGGCAATAAAAGGCCTGAAAAAACAGAAGACTATGGGACTGTTAAGGTGCCTCCAGCAGAGGACAGTTGGCTAGGGAGGGAGCATATTGCAGGCCTGATCTAGGAGGAAATGCTCAGTGGATGAAAAGTACCCCAGTAGTGAGAACTGTGGTGCTCCTCCCTGAGGTATGTCAAGAAACAGATGGTGACTGATGTGGATGCTAATACACCATCTAAAAAGACACAACCTCAACCTACATGAATGAGAGATTAAGTCTGAGGGACAATACAATGTGGAAATGAAGTGTGTTATCCAGTAGATATATGCTGGAAACACATTGCAGTGGTGAAGTTCCTTGGTGGCTCCTTTCCTGGCTGGGTGACAGGTCCACACACTAATCAGCACTGACCTCAAGCTGCCATGGCTCTCAACATAGTTGATAGGAGTTGAGTGGACTTCCTATTTCTGCATGGGAAATGTCTTGCTGGACACCCAGAATTGCAGTTTGCACTTGAAAATGTTGGCCAGCAAGTCTTCTGCTTTCATTTTAGGCTTTTATTGTCTAGTTTCAACCCCTCCTAGGGCACAAAACCTGGACCCACAGGTACTGAAGCTCCCTCCTTTCTGGGCAGGAGGCACTACAGGGCCTGGGCCTGCACACAATCCACTTAGAAGACCTGCTGGCTTCAAGTGAGGTTTTCAAGCTAAGCTACCTGGGCTGTCCAGGACTCGCTTCAATACTCTCAGTCGAGTTTTCCAATAACTGGCCAATTTTGTTGTTAGGACATAGGCTCTATCACTTAAATGGTGATGGTTTTCAGCTTCCTACCCACATCCAGAAGGACAAATACACCGTTTCACAGGCAAGGACACAGAGCAGCTCAGTGTAGTGCAGCTCTAAGAGCCAAGAGATGTGCTCCCCAAAGCCCTCATGAAATGTGCAGATTGGTGAGGTGCCAGTGAGAACACAGTTGCACAAAGAGCTTTGCAGGCTGTCTGTTCCCACCTGGGCAAGGCTAAACCCAGAACTCCATTTAGTGGACCACCTGAATTAGCTCTGCAGGGACCAAGGGAGGGCAAATTGCTCTCTGGCAATGTCACTGCAGTCCTGGCTATTCCCAGCTAGCAATGGATGAGGTGTGAGTCTGGGGAATGTGTCTTCAGAAGATCAGCCTAATTCTCCTTGGAAATTAAAAAGTAAGGATAGTCTTATCTCTAGACACAGGGCTGGAAGGGAGGGAGATGTAAAGAGGGAAGGAGAGAAAGATCTGTTGTAAGGGAGAGAGTTGGAAATCAAAGAACAAGTGTTTGTGAAGTCTTCTGATTGCTGATGACTTTCACTTCAAAGTCCCAGAGTTTTAAAGGCATCTCGTAAATCATCTACTTCGTACAGTGGCTGCAGGACAAAATATAAATGGTAGGTCAGTTGTCAAGTGAGCAGGAACCTATGAGGATGGGGAAGGAGGAAGAAATGGTAGGAGATGGGATGAGAGGTGGAAGAAGGGGAAGAGAATGAGGAGAGGAGATATGAAGGAAGTTGGGTAGAGAGGCACGAGGGAGGTGGAAGGTGAAGACACAGGAATGAATGAAATGGCAGACGGCAGAGATGGGCAGCAAGAGCAGAGAGGAACTATAGCGAGGAAGAGAGGAAGAAGCTGAGGGGAAGAGCACTGGAAGGAGAAGGAGAATTGGCCCTCACCAGGAGGATCCGTCGAAGTTTCCTGGACAGATGGACAGAGTTTTCATGCAGCCCTTCCCAGGCTTTGAATGTCTTTTCCCTGTTCTCCACAAATGTGTTCCAGCAGTAGAAGTAATCTGTGCAAGGCACAGGGGAGTTACAGAGTGCTCAAGACTGCCCCAGAGAGGACACTGACCTCTCCTAGGATCACTAAATCATCACATCCTGCCATCATCTTCTCTGGCTCCTTGTCCTAGCTTCTCCCACCCTCCTGGGTCTCCCTAACCCCCCATAGCTTTCCATCATCTCTTTCTTGCCTGCACATCTCACCTTTGAAGGTCATGATGGCAATCTGTGCCCCTGCCCTGTGCAGGCGCCTCAGCCCCTCAGGCTCTGCCTTGCGGTCCTCGCAGAAGTAGAGGCGTGCTGTGAAGATGCGGAGGGTCAGGTTGGGGTAGGCACGCAGGAAGTCGGCCACGTGTCGGGCGCAGTCATAACAGGGGCTCCAGGAGGTGAACCAGGTGATACGGTAGCAGCGGCCTGGGTCCAGGTCCCAGGCTGAGATGTAGCGCAGGAAGAGCACCTCCACGTGACAGCCCATCTTCGTGAAAGAGGGAGAGGGGCAAGGTGTGAGGCGGGGGAGGGGAGCAGGGTGTAAGAGGGGTGAGGAGGGAGGTGTGAGCTGGATAGGGTGTGAGAGGAGGAGAAACAAGGTGGGGGGTATGTCCTAGGGTCAGCGCACAGAGGAAGAAGGCACAGCGGTACGTAAGTGGAAAAGCACAGGGGCGCACTGATGTGTAGGGACGTACAACAAGAGGAATGGGTGGGAGCTAAGTAGAAAAATAGGTAGACTGGTAAAGCAGCAGGGAGTATGGATGCCTTGCTGGTAACACACTTGGGGGTAGCATAAAGTACAGGTTTACCTGGAGGCTGCATCCCCCAGATATTATGTACCAGTGCAGTGTCCATGCTCATGGACACGTGTGCCGGTGCCTGCGTTGCTGTTACAACCCTCCTTTCCCTGCTGCCCCAGGCAAACTGGAGCTGCATGCACCTCAGCACAGATATAAGAACAGGATGCCAAGGTGTTCCCTATACCTTATTGCGCAGGTATCCAAAGTCCAGGGAGCACGATGTGGCACTGTCACGGCGCTTCACAACATAGCAGAGGTAGGTTTCACGCCGGCCCTTGGCCCAGCGCAGGTTCTTGAAGTTATAAAGGAAGAGTTTCCTCTTCATCAGGAGGCTGCAGGAGAAGACAAGAGAGAATTTACACTAGCCCCACCCTGGAGCCAGCAGCTGGCCATGTCTTTGTTGAGGGCTCAGCACCAAAAATATCCTCCTCATGTCCAGGCCTCTCAGTACAAGAAGAGCATCAGTAATTTGCATGCAATGTGTTAGGGAAAGGGTGCAGACGTGACTGTGGGGATGAAGCAGGTGACCTTGTGAGTGGAAACAGTAAGTGAATTAGTAGTGGTTAGTCAAACAGCAACTATGGCTGGGTAGAGTGCGAAAATATCTGCAAACATCCAAAAGATGGACACCAATGAGGGAGAAAGATGAAGGTGTCTGAGAAGACCTGGGAAGATAAGAGGGTCTGGAGTTCAGTCATCAAGAAATATTATTTCTGCTGTACAAAACCCTGAAAAGCCACTGTGGCAAAGGATTGATCAAATTAGAGCCTCTTTAGAGAAGACTGGACAGAGTTTCTTCCCAGCATTGCCCAGAAGAAGAGCATGGTTGAAAGCGCGCAGGGCTAGGGGCTCGGGTAAGGTGCCATACACTAGCTGACAGAATACGTAATGGGGTAGGCATGCTGACACCTCTCCAGACACAAGTACTATTCCCACATTAGACAAACATCGAGATACATGGGGTCCTGCTCCCATGCCCAGGGATCCTGCTGGGGAGAGGCAGCGGGAGCACGGGGAGGGTAAGGTAGTCATGAGCCGTATCTAACAGCCTCACTGCCAAGTGGAGGTACATTGGCAGCTGAGAACAGCTGTGTTCATTGAGGTGAGATACTTACCTCCCCCACAGCAATGCAAAATAGAAGTGAATGGGTTAAAAATAATCACGTCCTTTGTCATCTTTTCCCTCTGATAGGCTGATGTTCAGCAGGGAGATGGGGTCAGTTTAAGTGATACCGAGCTGGGTTTTCTGGGGGGTCTCCAGTGAGGTGTAGGAAAGGGGAGTTTGGGTTTGTTAGGAATATAAATCTGATTAAAATCCAAGAGTCTAAGCAAGGAAAAGTTTCTTACACAAACACCCTTCATCTGTTTGCCAACATCACCATAAAGCCTGAGCACTGCAGGGCACTTAATCTCCAGCTAATAGTGGCATCCTCTCTCCTCCTCTGGGAGCTTCTCTCCATTGTGCACCCTCACACATGACCACAGCACCACAGGTGCTCATTCATATAGTCACGCACATCCTCTTGCTTTTTGTTACCTGGTGCATGTGCTTTGCTCTCCTGTAGCACTCCCTATTGCACCTCACACCGCATCTCCAGAGAGGCACATTCTTCCCTCAAGCACCCTTGCTACCCTGATTGTCCCACAGATAGGCAAGCCACCCGCGCACACATCCTCTTTCCTGCCATGTCGCCCTCAGACTGCAGTGCAAAAATACCTGTCCTGCTCACACAGAAAGAGCAAGCACACACATACTCAGTTATGCCACTTTTTATACAGACATGCTCCTAGAGAAGTAGATCACATGGGAGTTGTGGCATGTCTCCTGCTAGGAGAAAGTCCATAGAGAAGACAAGGCTCTGCAGAGTCCTGCACACACTCAGAGAGCAAAGCATCCCTACTAAGCATTTTATTCAGCCCAACAACAGCCTCAAGCAGTTCTTGGAGGTCTGTCCTGTAAGCACTGCCCCAGTCCGGCTCTGCTGGGCTTGCAGGTTGTGTCTGGAGTAGAGCACAAGCTGATCCCACTGCATTTCATCACCCCTTTCTCTGGCAGGTCACGTTGGGTGTGTGTTTCCCCTACCCACTTTTCTCTCTTGTATCGTGTGTTCTTCATCATCAGTTTTGATTTATTTCTCACACTTAGAGCTGCCCCGCTTCCTACCACCTTAGATTCACCCTGTATCCCTGCCTTTGAACAAACATGTATGAACATGTGTGTATATTCCCTAACACACTCATGTGTTGGTCCCCTCACAAAACTGTCAACCAGTAGTTCACCTCAGGCTTCTCCCTCTTGGATGTGTGTTATTGCAGGGATGTAGGGAAGACTCTCCTCTGTAACAGAGGTGCTGGAGAGGGAACACCCCTTCCATGTGTGACAGATCCTCAGGTTGTCCAGAGAGGATAGCCCACACAATCGCACGGGAAATGAGCAGGTATGATAGACCAGAGGGTTGCAAAGCTCTTACCTGGGATGTGCCACAACAGCAGAAAACAGAGCAGAGGAATTGTGAAAAATGCAATCACTTGTTGAAGAACCATATACGCCAGGTGAAAAACAATGACAATTATGTCGATGTTTCATCAAAGCCCACATGGAAAAATGCTTTTCAACACATCAAAAAGTTTAGGGAAAACAGGCTTTCTCTTTTCTCTTTCTTGTGAAGTTTTGGGCAAAACCATTTGCTTTCAAAATGTTCCTGATCCTTCTTCTAACTTTCCCTTTTCTCATTTCTTCCCATTTTTCTCTATTAAATGGTTTTGCCCCTGCAGAGCAGCATGCGGATGCAAATACAGGTGAAGAACAAGAAATGACCCCAAAACCCAGAAAAACAAAATTATGATCAGTTGGGTTATTTTTCAGTGTCAGAAAAAAGTGAAGACAATTTTGAATCACAGAAGCCATTTGTTCAACTAGAAATGTTCATTAACATCAGTTCCTGTTTTCCCTTCTCTCTGGAATTCACCGTCCCAGGGTTTTTTTGCTAGGGAGGATTTCAGAACGTCACTGGTACGAGAAGAAGAATAATGAATGAACAGATGTTGCGGGGAGCAACTGGGCAAATTTGCAGGTAGGTACAAAGTGCTGGATACATGTGCAACTCCTATAGCTATAGGATAGCTCAAGAGAAAGCGGCAAGGACACAGGAGCTGTGATTATACCCGGGCACTGAAAAAGTATACTGAACAGAGACCTTGTCCTCAAATAAAGATTCATGAAGCCAATCCTCAAATCAGAGTGAAGGCTCCTGAGTGCGTGAATGATATGCAATTGTGGAGAGTGATTAGCGATAATTAGCTCGCAGAGTAATTGCAGTGCAAGTAGAGGAATCCAATGCTGGAACAGTCTGTGCTTAAGAGCACAAGGGTGTGAGCAGCAGAAACAGAGTAAGACAGAAATCTGGTGCAAGAGAAAGAATAGGTGGATAAGAAGACAAGAGTGGGCAGGCATTGAGGTGCTTAAGTGGCAGATAGCATCTGAATGTTCATCTTTCTGTTATCTTTTTTTGTTTCTAGAAAAGAAAAAGAATGAAAAGGAACAGAGAATGGTCCCAAGAAAGAGAAATGACAGAAAGGGAAAAGAGTACAGGGTGGCAGACAGTCAAAGAGAAAGAATGACAGAGACACGGAGATGCAAGGCGCAAGAGCAGGACGGGGCGGGGAGTTAGATCACTGAGTCAGATGGGGAAAGCGAAAGGGATGGTGAGCACCAAAGGGAGAGCAGGTTAATTCTAAGAGAAAGACCCTCATTTCTTATATGAGCAAGAAACTGGAGGCACTCATCTTACCTGTCCATGACTGCCAGGGTCTCTCTCAGGTGATGGGATTGCAGGGAGGTTGTCTTGCAGGCTCCGTCTGTGCAGCCCTCTGACTTGATGTACAGAAATGTGGACTGCCCTGTGTGTCCCCTCCCCATTCACCCCTATCTACCCCCTGCCGGGTTTCATCGGGGTGTGGTTGAGGGAGGAGTTAGAAAGGTCTCTGGAGCTGCAGGAGCTGAAGAGCAAAGGGTTGAGATACGAAGGGGCATCAGTTCTGAAAGATGCTTGGCACCCATTGGTCGCCTCCCCCCACTGCACTCCCCATTGGGCCCTCCCTGCCTGCAAAATTATTCTGAATTAATATCAATAACATAACGAAGCAGGAAGCATTGTCTAGTGGTTAGAGGGGGGCCTAGGAGCTTATGTACCACTAACGTGAATGTGGGCAAAACCACACTATCCCCCGGGCCCTGGGTCACGCAGCTGTGCAGTGAAGATGGTGACCCTGCCCTGCCCCACAGCGGAGGGAGCTCTGCGCAGCACCCCGCAGCCGCCCAGCTGGAAGGAGCTCAGGGAACACCAAATTGTTGGCAGGCTTCCCCCCCTCCTCCGTGTCCCCCTGAAAGGCCCAGCAGCTGCTTGGCAGCATGGGGCAGCACCAAAGCCGAAGAGGAGAATGAGAGGGACCCAGCTCTGGAAAGAGCCTGGGGTTTGATGGAGAGCGTCTGGCCCCACTTCAGCACCTGAACATGGCCATGGGTGCCTGAGCCGTGTCAACACGCCAGGAACGGTGGCGAACCTGCATTGCAAAGCTGTACGCAAAGGACCGGTGGGGAATGACTCAGGGCCTGATCCTGCTGTTCCAGGTGGCACCAGTGCTGCGATCTGCCAGCAGCAGGGTGGCTGCCAGGACCCTCCGTCCGATGGCTGTGGCCAGCAGGCGTGCGGTTGTACGCCGTCACGCCCGGGCTCACGCTCAGGATGCACACACTTCGCTCCACCAACACCGCGTTCTGTCGCCCGGGCTCTGCTCCACCATGGCCCCGCAGCACCTGCCTGGGCACCCATCCCCTCCTCAGGGCTGAAGGACAGCCAAGGGATGGGGCAGTGGCTTCATCCGGGCAGGGTGCTGAGGAAGCAGCCGGGGGATATTCTGCTCCATTTCTGCCTCAAGCTGGGCACGGTCAGTGCTACGGCTGAGAAACAGGGCTTTTGTTTACCTCACGCTAGGGTAGTTCTTCGTTTTTTCTCTGCTTCATTTACTTTCCTTATGAATTTTACTGGCTTTCAGCATGCTAGGACTGTGTGAAACCAGTATATGCAAAAACATGAAAAGGAGAGATGACTTGCCAGAACAGAGCAGATGACTCCCTAGCCCAGCACTTTGACCGTACTTGTCTTTGAGAGCGGCTGGCATGGCACACTTCAGGAAAAGGAGAAGCACTTCTGGAAGGTCCAGGGCTGGGCTGTCCTACTCCTTGGGGAAATGTCTGGGCAGGGCACATGCTCAACGAATCCACATTTTGGCAGCTGCATTGGTCCTAAGAGTTGTGGCAATTATCCTCTTTGAGGATCTAGCTGCTAGTGTTTGACCAAAGCTAGAAGAGCCTGCAATCCTTGCGAATCCCTGTCCTACTTAACGGCGTCAAAGAGGACACTCCTGCTAATGAAACAGCTGTCCCCGTTCAGCCTTTGCCCTAGCAGCACCTTGTGACAAATCTCCTAGGTCAGACCAAGAGTCATTTTGTCCCCCTTTCATACTAGTTTTTTTCTTTTCATAATGCAAGGAGGATGTTTGTTACACAGGACATTAAAAAAAGAAAAGAAAAAAAAAGCAACACACCCTGGGAAATCTGCTTCTTAGAGATCACAACTGTTTGTGTTTCATCAGATAAATTAAGGTAGCTTCAGCTTTATTCTTGTTCTGGCTCCTAAATTTCATACCCAAAAGCTTGCAGAAAATTTTACATAATATTTTCTGCTCTGAAAGGAGTCAAGAAATATCTTTATGGCCAGCCTGGTCTTCCCCATAAATTAAATTTGTGCATAATGATTTTCTCAAAGGTTTAACATGTCAAGTCTCATAAAATGTTTAACTAGATCCTTTCTCTGGTCCTGCCTGTAAGTGGAATTCATTCTTCCATGTTTAAAAGATCAGCTCTTTTCCTTAAATGTTGAGAGTCTCTTTGCTGTCCACAGAGATAAAAAAGAAAGAATGAACGAATGAACAGATGAACTATATTTATGTCACTCTTTGGCAGGGCTCTCAAGTCTAAATACTGATGTAGGCTTTCTAATGCCCTTCGTTTAGACCAGTAACTTCCCTCACACTGGAGGTGCGAGTGCACAAAGTCAGTGGCAGCGGTTCTCTGCCTCTAGCTCTAATCCCCAGAGCAGAAACCTGTTGGTGTGGATGTGTTTTTAGTGTCTCATAGCAAGCCTAGGGCAACATTTCGAGAGGGACCCTCAGCTCCTATGCAGTTCTGCCTAAAGCAGGAGCTGCAGTCTCTTGCCAAGGCAAGATCTTGCTCATTAGCAGATGTCATCACTGCCCTGGTTAAGAAAAAATAGTTTGGAAAACCATCGAAAGGTTGATGATCCCTGATCCAGCTGCTAGTCCAGCTTTCTCCCTGGCTGTAAATTGCCACATCTTTAACATATGGTGGGACTCTTTTGGCTGGGAGCTAATACCTGAGGAGGGGTGCTGACCACTCCAGTTCTCCTTCCTTTCTGCTCAATGCAAACTTATTTGGAGAGAGGACTGGGGGTGGGAGAGAAAATCAATTTTACTGAAAATGACTCCATCTCTGTTTCTGACCAAAGCCCACGTCAGTTAAAGGCTAGTGGGGAAGGCTAGAAAGGGTCCCTGTGCTGGTGTGTTTGGAGTGTTATCTAGCAAGAGACACTGCTCCAGCTTATCAGGATCACAGAAGGATGTCCTAGCACCCCTTCAGGTTTCTTGTGCTTGGGGCTCTATTCCCTGTCTTGAAGTGAGAACATCAGAGAAATAACAGCAGGCTGAAGAGCAGTGGTCAGGTGTAAGGGGGGAGGAAGAATATCACCATTACTGTTACTAAAGATTCAGAAAGCAAACTGCTAAGAAATCAGAGAGCAAAAATGCGGTGAATAATTAAAAGTAATTACCTAGCCCCAAAGCAGAGGAGAGGTTGCTTGTTTAGTCAACAGGAAGTCATGTGTTGGTGTGTACCGATATAAATACATATTTATTTTTTCCATTCACCCTTTGTCAGAAATCGCATTTTGAAACAAGCGCCAACATCACCAGTTGGTTGGTTCTTACGCTGAACACAAGAAACGCAGACACCTGCTTCCCCTTGCCTCAAGCGAAAACCTCAAGCAGAAAAACTTTCTCTGCTCAACAAGTGCTGATGCACCATGGACACTGACTTGCACAGAGACCTCGAGCAGGGGAATGGTAGAGTTCCTTGCAGTTAGACACAGGCAAATAAATGAGCTGATGTGCTTATTTATTATAAGCACATATAATGTAATATGCTTATTCCATATAAGCATATATTAAGCATAAGCATATATTAAAATGCTTATTTATTATATGCACATTACATTATATTCTGTGTTCATTCCACAGAGATTCATCACCCTATTTTGAATGACAGACCCAACACATGCACTTGCTCAGGCACCTCTGCCAGGCAGACCACTCTCATTACTCCAGTCCTGGGTGTGAAAAAAATCCACACTAGATGTAGAGGCAGCTTGCTGTCTAGGACATGGGGCAAAGGGCCTTTCCCTAGAGCTTCCAACTCATTTTGTGACGCAGCTGTGGATGCCATGCCTAGGGAGAAGGTTTCAGCAGTTGCATGACAAAGCACCGCCTTTCGTGGTGCGGAATATGCAGCACCATGGAGATACAGGAAAGCTATGAGGACGTGTATGAGGTCTGTCTGGGGTGGACATCACCAGGAGGAGGAGGTGTGGCGGGGGGGATGCAAACACAAATCTAAAGCACTGTGGGGTGATTGTCACTGAGGCTGCACCTATGTTAGACAAGAGCCGGGGTCCCAGGTCATAAGAGGGAAGTGGGAAGGAGAGGAGGCAGGAGGAGCTCAGGATGTGTGGGAGTGCCACTGGGAGGGTGGGTTTATGAAACCTGGACCCCTGTGCTGTGCACTGCTGCATGCTGCAGGATTGTAGATGATGCCACTGATGCAGAATAGAGGGCATCTGGTTGCTGGGTGTGCACCAAGATTATACGTTATTATGCGTTTTACTAGTAATTTGGCTTTCCAGGCTTGCACTGCAAAACCTTTACCTGGAGACTTGACTCGTGGTTTATTTCTGTTCCACTGTTGAGCTTCTTTTGCTGCTGGGGGATGAGGCAAATTAGGCTGAAACTATTGAATTGAGTACACGTTTTTCAACCACAGTCCTGTGAGTGCCTCTCATTCCTGCCCTGCAGCTCTCTGCTAGCCCCGCCTGGGGCTCCTTGTAGGAACTAATGACCCTTAATCCTGCCTCTGTACCCCCACAATTTTTTCTCTCCCCGCCCATATTAGTTCCCCCCACCATGTCTCTAGGCAGCAGCAGTTCCATCCCTGGCTACCAGTGACTGACGCCTGCTGGGATCACCAGCAAGAAGGGAGGAAAGGGGTTGGGTTGGGTTGAATGGCTTCCCCATCATGAATGCAGGTAAGAAATGTGACCAAAGTCCAAGTACTTGCACTGAATGTCCTCAGGTGTCTTCTCTAGCTTGAGGCTGTGACATGGTTGGCATCTTATCTCATTTACACTAAGAAAAACACAGAGTCTGCGATCAAAGCAGAATGCGCCTTCCCCATGCTGAGAGCTGGGGGTGGGGAAGTACCCACCAGAGCTGCTTGCACCTTGCTGCTTCCCATAGCAGTGCACGTAGCTCCAGCCTCCAGCGTGCCCTGCCCATCTGACTTGGCTTCTGACTCCATGCTGCGCAGACCTGGAGAACACCTTTTTGCACAGGGAGCTGCAGGCTGCGTTCCAGTGTTACTCCATTCTCCTACAGCTCAGCCCCCTGGTCTGGGCACCCCAGACCCTGCTCCCAATCACATCTTCCCCCTACTTAATGGAAGTCATTGGCTCCCTATCTCTGCAATCATCTGCTAGTCATGGGGAGAAACTCAGTTTTGCACCGCAGTTTTTCACAATGAGACTCACCTTCTAGCTGTGGTTACGGTTT